ACCTGGTCATTATTCGCCTAGCTTGCACGAAAGCAAACAGTTACAGTAATTTTGTTACCCACCCTCCCTCCCTATGGAGGAGTTTTGTTGTGTTAGGTATCAATAAAGTTTGGGGGGTCACTCCTTGTGGTGCGGTTAAGTCTGCGTTGCGACTTCCCCCAAGCTTTTGGCATTGCTTGTGTCTTGCCATCTTATTCATTTGCCTTAATCTTGTCCGATCCAGCCCGTGCGGCGCTGGGGAGATAAGAAAGGCTCTGGCAATACTCTTGTCCTACCCCACGGTAGTGGGGCGATAAGTGAGGCTTGTGTTTTTGCTGTGCGCATAACCTGAAGTCGCTAGAACCTGCCACAGGGCTGTGTCCCCCCCTTATTACGCCATCTTGTAGCAATTGTCTTATTTGCCTGCGTGCGCTATTTAGCTGTGTTACCTTTTCATGCGTATCTTAAGCGGAATAGTGACATGAATTAGATTTTTACTAAGTCGGATAATGTTACCTTTTCACCAGATATTTAGAATTTAAAGCTCAGAAAGTAATACTATTCAAATTTTTTCTTTACCATTCTTTTTGCTTACACTATATGTTATCCCTTTGACGAAATTGTTATATTTTTGAAAAAGCTATGTATTTTTCTGTAATTCCTGATAATACACACAATCTTTTGAGATCATGACAATAGTCATTGTGTTGTTTTCTACAAAACAATTTTTTGACATCATAGATCACGTTTCATCTACTTTTAAAAGGAGAAAACACAAAAAGACAGAAAAAACACTCACAATAGTCAAAATACTGTCTTAAAATTTGTGCTTGGTAAAGTAAAAAAGGAATGTTTAAGAAGGAATCCACCAGGAAACTGAGTAATTTTAATTCTCAGTGGACAAAAAGCTTGTACCTGCAGAATAATAAAGGCCTCAGAGAGAAAAAAAATCGTTAAAAAATTATTATTCACTGGATCGTACTTAAACCAACGATTTTGTAACTAGGGCACATAAGGCTTTATTCTGGCCAAGTTTGCGGCCAGGTCATATTTTGACTATTTCCTCGTTTTAAGTTGATAATTACGCGGAGCTGATCTTAACAATATTGCATTCTTTTTACATTTTTCAAGAGCTAAAGATGTAAGGGGTCATCCGTAATATCACCAAAGAAAATTTCTCATGGGATTCCAAGAAAATGAAGAGAATTGTGAAAACATAGGAAAAATTCTGAAAATTTAATGTGTAAGATGTAATTTTGTGAATTTGACATAACTATTCATTTTCTCGGGCTCCCATGAGAAGTTTTCTTTGGTGTTATCACAGAAGACTAATTACATCTCTTACCCTTGAAAAATGTAA